CATCAAGCCAATGATCTTCTTTCTAACTTTTAGGTGTAGCATGATTTGTTTTCGTTTTACGGTTTTAGGATTTTATAGTTGCTGGGTTTTGTTACTGTGAGCCGCCTGGAGTTGTGTTTAAGATGGGCGGCCATACAAATCTTTTAAATAAATAAATGGGTAACTTTGATGATATGTGACAGGCGTCATAACTAATCAGCAACAACTGATGATTATGAATACTGAAAACCATATGAAATATGATATTTAATACTATTATTTCTATGGAGGAAGAGGCCCATGAAGGCAGAAATGCCTTGGGCTACAGAAGTCATAGTGCAGCCCTGGGATGGAGGTGAACTTTGAGTCCACCCTCAGACATGGAAGGCCGGCAGAAGACTCTGGCCACTTTCTCTCTCTCTCAGCCCAACCTATCTCACAGGGTTGTTGTTCTGGGGAAGAGAATTGGGGAGAGAATGCTTTGTTTGCCACCTTGAGCTCCTGGAAGAAAAGCTGGATATAAATATAATAATATATTACTGTTATGAAAAACCAGCAACTCACAGAAATATTTGAGAACGGCCTCCCCAGCCATCTGCCCTCTAGTGACATTGGACAACAGTTCTGAGAATAGGTATCATAATATGTATTGTAACTTTCCTACCTGAGTAATCAGAAGAGCGATGTTGCATTAGGAGGCCTTCCAGATCTTTCAGAGTCAGCCTGCTATCAAGTGAAATCTCTAGGCAGTTGTTGCCTGGTGGCAGAACCTCTGGCCCTCCACATGTTGCTGATGTAGACCTCCCTAAAGCCCCTGTCTCCAAGGGCAAGGATGGGAGGATCCTGGGAATTGTGGGTCACAGATTCCTTACTCTTTCAAAAGGAATCTAAAATTTCCCACATAAGAGGTTGTCTTAACTGTTCTTTATACAAACTTCTCTGTAAGTTCTTTATCACACCCTAGAGCTCTGGTCAGTGGGACAAACATGAAGAAGAAATTATCAAACTTTTAACTTATTGAGTTGTAGTTACGTCTTGTGTAAAAGTGCACAGAAGCAAAGCGGTGAAGATTAGATACAGAACCTCCCCCCACCCCCCATAAGACAGTTATGGATTTGTCAAGCTGACTCTTCTGTGAAATATTTGGTGTTATCTTTGACGTGCTTGTTCATTGACAATGTAACCACAAAGCTTATGCAAGTCTCTGCATTTACTTTATGACTAATGGTAGCCTTATAATTAGTGATTATACGATCTTGTGATCTAAACAGCTGTTACTTCCCCCTCTTTTTGGCAGAGTTTGCATGGGGGTAGAAAAGATGGAGGCTGAGAGCTCAGCACTGCTTTAGAAGTCATTGAGTATTAATGTGTTTTTATATAGCATAATGGCTTTTCTTAAAAAATCCAGCAAATACTAGCCAGACTGGGAATGCTACCACAATAAAACAGTTTGCTTATTTATTTAAGGCATTTGCAAGGCCAGTCTCAACAGTGGAAGACACTGAGCACTGAACAGTTTTTGAAATATACACCATAAGGTTAATATAAGGAACTGACAAAACCAGCAAGCAGATTTCTGCCTGAAAACTATTTCGCAGACTGAATGCCTTCTGAAATTATACGCCATGCCCTTCAAAGAAGACAAGCAAGAAAAGGGTTGACTAAGGTTCAGAAGACTGAAAGTCACTGAGCAAGCAACTGTAGCTTGTCTCTGTCACACTTTTCTTCTCTCCCAGGGCAGAACTTTGATTACCTGTCAGACTTGTTAAGTAGACCAGACTAGGAAATCCACTCCACAGGAAGGCTAAAATGACTTTTATTTGAGACTGGCTATAATAACAGAATCTTGTAAGTCTGACTATGCCATACCTCTTCCCCCTTCTTACACTCCAGTGAATTTGGGAGCTGTCTGTTTGAGCCACTTCTGAATGTTATCTCGTTGCTCTAGACTTAAAAAAATGCCTCAGCTGCTTTTGCCTAGGTGACAGTTCCTGCATCTTTACTCTCTGCACCACCTGAATACAGGTGGCAGATCAGGTGGGGCCAAGCAGATCCATCCTAGCTTTCTTACCTTGTCTACTTGTGCTTAATGTTACAGGTTTGGTCTGCTGTATTATTTATTTATGGATTTTAAAGACTTACGTCCTACGTTGCAAGCACTTGGCTGATCTTTGCTATTTCTCCACTAGTGACTAATCCACTAGTGTCTTTCAGCCATCATTGAGGTGATAGAACAGTAATGAAGATGGGCTCTATCTCTCAGCAATGACCAGATGGCCCATAAATATTCTGTAAGTTGGAAAATGTCTTGATCAGGTCTCAGAAGCTAAGTTGGGGTAGACCTGCATAGTATTTGGAAGGGAGACCACAGGGCATTCTAGGACTATAAGCTAGGCTGAGAAGTTAAAAAAAAAACATTCTGGAAGAAAGTAGTGGTAAACCACCTTCCACTGTAGCTAAAAAGAACTGCTTGGATGTGTTCGTGAAGTCACCAGCTGTTGCGTTCAACTCAAAGGAGACTTTACTTTTTGTCAGGCTAGCCTCTAGACCTGAAAGCATTCTCTATCAAATATAAAACCTCCACCATTAAGAGAAAAGGACCTAAAATAATACAGAAAATCAGATGTTAAAATATAAGAACATTAAATAATTTTTCGGGTTTATATCTATCTATCTATCTATCTATCTATCTATCTATCTATCTATCTATCTATCTATCTATCTATTAGTATATGCCTCTTATATCTATTTTTGGGAGAGAATTCTATGCAGTGACTGCAGATTTGTAGAATTCTCTACACACGTTGATCATGGGTCCATGAGCAGGACTTCTGAGGCTGGTGTGAAAGAGGCTGTTGTCACTCCTTCTGTGACTGCCTCCTTGCCTGAGTGAGGGATTAGGACTAACAAGGAAGGAAAGGATGGACGCTATTGCTCAGGTAGTCAGCAAACTAGATGAAAAGATGTGTGGCAGCAACAGTCTGTGCTTTGGAACCAATCCTGTGTGCTACTGTTAAATCTTTTTTTTTTTTTGGGTACCTTCGAATCAGTGTTGACTCCTGACAACCACCTGGACTAGTTCCTGCAGTTTTCTAGGCAAAATTTCAGAAGGTTTGTCCTTGCCTTCTTCGTAGGGCTGAGAGTCAGTGACTAGCCCAAGGTCACCCAGCTGGCTTTGTGCCTAAAGAGGGACTAGAACTCACCGTCTCCCAGTTCCTATCCTGATACCTTAATCGTTACACCAAACTGGCTCTCAACAACAATCCTGTTAGACAGGTTGGGGGGGGGGAGAGAGAGAGAGATTGAGAGAGAGACCCAGCTCAACACTTTAATTGCTAGGTTTGATAGCATTACAGGACTATAGTTGCTCTTCCTCAACTTAGCATCCTTCAGAGGTTCCCATAGATCCAAGCTGGGAATGATGGAAAACTAACATATCTGGAGGGTGTGAAGTCAGAAAAGGCCTGTGGCAGCTTATTTACATTTGCTTTTAAAAGCCGTTATCCAAGCGCCATCTCCTTTAGCTTCAACATGTTGTTTTCTTAATCTGCCACCTGCCTTCAAGCCAAAAGCACTGCAGTTTTTGTCATCCATATATTTACATAGTTGAATTGCTCTTTCAGGGGATGCCTTTCAGGTGCAATCTGCAGCTTTTTACTTGGCTTGCGCACTAGCCAACTATAGTGAATAATTTTAACAACTTGGCCTCCCGTTTATTCCTGTTGATTTCGAGATGACAGATTTTCATGCAGTGGGTTCTGGACCAAGGTGAAGTTCTATGGTATTCAGGGTGCTTGAGAGCAAATATTTAGGTGCAGGTGATAGATTAGATAGCCTGTTAATTAGCGCAAAATAATAATTACAGAAGAACATGGATACAAATGGAAAAGCTGCATTTGATTTATATTCAGTGTTGCTAGAAAGAATAATACAACAATATTGGAAAATGGTCTATAGAGAAGTCTGGTTTCTAGAAAATGTCCAGCTAGTTATGTTTCCAAACACGTGAAGTGCAAGTTAGCCCAGCTGAATTGTAAAACGATGTTCAAAGTGCCCTTAATGCTGTGATTACAGGACTGCTGCTACCTGTTAACTGCTGGTATTTACCATCAATATGGGCAATTCCTATTGTCTAATAATATTACTTTACTGGAGTTTACTGTGCCAGAATTCTGGATGATTAAGAGGAATGACTTACAATGTTTTTCTGCCGCCCTTACATAATTCTACAAGATTTTTACCAGCTGAAGAACAGCAATAGCTAAAATGCTACAGTTTAGAAGCACACCCATACAATTCACATAACCGTGATCTGCATAATTGCTCATCTTCAATGGTGTTCTCCTCCATGACTGTAAAACATTATTGTTTCAGAGATATTAGAAAATACATTGGCTGCCAGGTTGATATGGCTATGGCAAATGGGCAGAAACTGGTCCATTTGGCTGATAATTTTTCTCAATCATCTTTTTTTTTTTCCTTGACTTAAATCACGATGGCCTGATTCATACACCCCGTGAACCAGTGTTTCCCAGCCATGGCAACTTGGTAGGTATTTGGATTATAGCTCCCAGAAATCTTGGCAATGACGGGGGAATTCTGGGAGTTGAAATCCATACATCCAGAACTTGTCAAACACTACCATAAACCATAGGACAGGAAGGCCTGGCGCGATATGGTTCATGGGGTCACGAAGAGTCGGACACGACTTAACGACTGAACAACAACAACAACCATAAACCATAATGTGTGTTGT